GAAAAGGATTCTGGAAGTGTAGGTATAAGACGTCATCATGCTTGAGGTCAATTTTTTACTCTTCCATTATCTTCCGTACATCGGTTCACTCGTCCAACACAAAGCATTTAATCGAGGCAGAAAGGGAGTTTCAAAGGATTATTCAGGCTGTACTGCTACAGACTCACGACTGAATGCTTTGTGCTTGACCACTGAATTGATAATTGCCCTATTTCACTATGACGTCACTGCTTGTTTATGTGGGGGATAGAATCGCTAAATCCAATAAAAAATTCAACAAAATTTGCTCCTAGCGAAACAGTTTAATCTAAAATGGCCTAGTTTTCAGATTTATAATATGTGTTAATATGTACTAAAAATATTCTGAGCGTTTGCTCAGAGGCTATTCTACTTCTATTCGTGGATTGATACCGGTTTTAGAACAATTTTCGGTGAATTTGCGTTGATTTGACCCCCTCCGACGACCATGATCGTTATTAGATTGTTTTCATGTGACGTCATAGTGAAATAGGGCAATTGGAAAGTGATAAATTCATCGTTTTTTTGAAGTCCTTGGATCCTAATAATTTCTTAATTATACAATTGGAATTTTTGCATGTTTTGACTGCTACTTCACCGTTATATAATCGTCACTGCACATAGCTCGGACAAGGTAGTAAAGATGTTCATTGTCCTCTGTCTTTCTCCCTTTCTTCTCTCGCTCTTCCTCTAACTTCCTCTAGCTCTCAACCATTAGCCTCAGTTCCGCCATTTTGTTTCCCAAAATACTCTATTTTTCTTATTTAGTGCATAACAAATTTAAAAAAAAGTATCTTATTGGAATACTGAATGAACCAAGCTGCCTAGTCCTATTTTATACCTTTCCAAATATTAAATTAATTGATCAATAATAATCTATTTGTAATAATAATTTTTAGGGATAAATAAATGGTTAAAATATCRTGATTTGTCGTAAGTGCATTTTACTCAAGTTGCATAAAACTTGCCCCTGGGGGAGTAGGAAGGGAAAGTCCTACATCATTTCCGGAAAGTATTCGTTCCATTTTCGCTGAAAAATCGGAAAAGTCTCCTTTTGGTATCCAGTCTCCCAGGCTTCCCAAACAAGCGCAGTATTCAAAATGGCGGCTGTATTGTCCTTTCTTCACGTTTTAGTTTTTGTTGTTGTTTTTAGCTTTTTATCCGCAGAAGATGAACTAAAAACTCTTGATGATATCAACTTTGAGCATCTCACACAAGCTTCTACGGGTGCTACTACTGGGGATTGGTTGATTGTTTTGTAAGTAAAAATATTTTGAAAACGAGAATTTACTGCATTTTACGTCAGTTCCATTCAGTGACCATGAATAATTGTTCCTAGCCGTGGCTGGAGTTTCCGCGCATAGCAAAACTACAGTTTATCATGCGCGGTAGCTCCAGCCTCGGCTAGGAATTGTATTATTCGTGGTCACTGAATGAAACTGTAAAATAGAGTATTCTATCTTTATTGATGGGTTGCAAGCATTCCCAGGAAAGTTAAAAGACAAAAACATGGCGGCCATTGTGGCGTCCTTAACAATGGATGCTAATAAGAAATCTTTTGTTAARCGGCACCAACGCTCCCCCGAGAGGTCGCGATGACGTAACGTGCAATCGAAGAATTCAAAATCCTATAAGAGTACAAATACTAAAGGCCCGCAACTTTTCGCGCTAATTATAATACTAAATAGCACCAAGTAGACAATAGAAAACGATATTTTTAACACTATTTAGAAGTGCTAACAGGGCTGTCAACTCTCCCGGATAAACCGGGAGTCTCCAGATTTTGGACCGTATCTCCCGGTCTCCAGATTAGAGTCTCAATTCTCCCGGATAATCACCGAAGCTGACCATTTCTTGTGAGACTCAACTTTCACAACCATAATTAAAATTCCAATTATTTTGTGTTGTTTGTGTTATTTTACATCGCTAACAAAATCAAAACGTTCCTCGTAAACTGTTCTTGCAACCAGGCCATTGCAATATAAGCGATAATCTGATTGGTCAGAAATAAACCAATCATATCAAATGTTACAAAGCGAAAGATGTCTTTTCGCGCGCTTTTTGACGCGCTGTGACGTCATTTCCCTTCCCTATCAATTCTCCAGATTTGAATATCTCGGGGGTTGACAGCCCTGTGCTAATTATGTTGCATGGCTATATAATTTCATTTATTCATTAAGATATCTGTTTCTTTATGTATCACTGCAATAATTATTTACATGATAGCTCAAGGGACCATAATGACTGTTCCCAGTGTAAGGATGTGGAAAATATATTCATAAAGCTCAGTGCCAAGTAAGTACTTATATTAATATTAATTGTTGTGGAGCGGGCTGGGGCTTCAGAGAGGAGACTCATCAGTGCAAATTTAACTTATTTAGAGGGCCAAACTTCCCCATTTTGACAGAAGCCTTTCCTCATCGACTTTAAAGGAGGATCATGAATTTCTTACTGAATGAAAGGGGAGGGCTACGATCAGGGCTTCAGAGAGGAGACTCATCAGTGCAAATTTAACTTATTTAGAGGGCCAAACTTCCCCATTTTGACAGAAGCCTTTCCTCATCGACTTTAAAGGAGGATCATGAATTTCTTACTGAATGAAAGGGGAGGGCTACGATCAGTTTAAAAAAAGCTTACTGCGAATCCCCCAGTCCTTCCCCCCCCCCCCCAAATAAAAGCACACCTTTCCTTAATACCTAGTCTCAGTCAAGTTCCAGTTCAACAGGCTCCCACTTCTCTTATTTAGCATTGCTATGTTGCACAAGCTCAACAAATTAGTTAAAATATCTCAGGATTTAAAACTCTGATTGCAGAAAATTGATTCTAAATTGCTTTAATTGTTTAAAATGATATTGCTTCATAATCCTTGTCATACTCTGATATAGATACTGTGCAGTTGTTTGTGGAACAAAATTTTAAATCCTCGGGGAAAACTTCTATAACAGTGATTGGTTCGCTGTTGTCTGAGAGGGGAAGCATGAATCCCTTATGGTATTCTCTACTTTCACATCCCCATAATGCCTTGCGTTTTTGGGGGGTAACCAATCAAAAAACTGTCCCAAATTGAAAGGTTTCTTAATTGAATTTATACTATACCTGCTTTTATCTGTACAATACCAATTATCAGTTTATTCCAAATTATTTTTTGTGTGTACAGATCATGAAGGGTTTTGGTCTTACAGAAAATGTATTGACTTGTCCAAAATGTTTAAAATTTACCTTAAACGTCTTCAAGCTTCTATCTTTTTCTGTTTTTTACTTCTTCATTTTATCTTTGGATACCAAACAAGGTATTTTCAACATTGTCTGATCAGCCTTCAGCAAAATGAGTGGGTTTTTACCCTCTGGTTACCCCCCAAAGACGCAAAGTATTATGGGGATGTGAAAGTCGAGAATGGGGAAGGTATAGCTGAGCTGCACAATAAACACTCATGTATTTTCTTTTTTTTTAGATTTCAACATAAGCTAAATATAGCAAAAGTACTACCATCAAGCAAATGTAGGCATTGATTCTTTTTGTATTTTACTTAATTATTTGGTCGTATTTCCTTAATCCAAATTCGTCATTGCTTATTCTATTCCTTACCACTATTTTGTTTGCTACGAGCTGATCAAGACAACAGTCACAATCGGGGAATAGACTAACGCCAATCAAATCAATTGTTTTATACCTTACATACCCTTTAACCTTCATTCACTTTTCTCCTTTTTCTCCCTATTTTCATTCTCACATTTTTTCTCCAACTCTTCCTTTTTCCTTCCTTCCTACTTTCTTTCTTTCCTTATTTCCTTCCTTCCTCACTTCGTTTCACCCTCTCTTCCTTTTTTATTACCTGCTTTTCTTTAAAATCTTATTTTGTCATTCATTCCTAACAGTGACCATAAAAAGATTTGAAATTACCAAATGGCCAGCTGTTTCTCTGTGAGTTCACAAATGAAGAGTATTTTACCTATGAATATGCCTAATCATTTAGGTGAAAACTTAGCTGTTTAACACCTTTTTTATGTCTATTTTATTTAAGTGTGATGTAGTTTCATCATGCAAAATGTTTCATCTGACAAGAGGAATTTTTTGCCTATGAACATACGAGGTAGTCATCAAATTAATTTTGGCTACTGTGTAATCTTAGGGGGAGGGGTGGGGAAGGGGCAGTGACAACAAAATATGAGTATATTACCCATTCCAAGGTTTAGTAATTTACCAAGGGCGGATCCAGCCAAAGTTTTAGGGAGAGGGGGAGGGCAATTGAGTTTCTACTGTCAACATGGCTCAAAACAATAAAAAAACATCTAATTCTTCAGTTTTGTTTTGTCTTTTTCTTTTCTGCTGAAGGTGGCAGCCCCACGTCAGCCCCCTTTGCCCCCCCTGGATCCGSCCTTGTATACTGGGTTGAGTTGGCATTGCAAGGCATTGTGGGACTGTATAGGGAACATTTCCAAGACAGCGTCTATTTCGTCCCCTAAGACAGCCACAAAAAGCACTGCGATGTCAGCTTGACCCAGCTTTACGTCAACCTGGAAATAATATGGGAAGCATGGGTAGTGTAATGGTGTGAGCGCTCCCCTCTCACCAATGCGACCCGAGTTCAAGTCCCGCTGGGTTCGGTGTTGTATATGAGTAGAGTTGTTTGTTGGTTCTCTCCTGTGCTTCGAGGGTTTTCCGGGTTCTCCGGTTTTCCTCCCTCAACTCCTAAATTCCAATTCGATCACGTTATGAGGGCCACAGGTTTGTTAGCCACTGGCTATTAAGTGCTACCCTTGTGAAAAAAAAGGATGTTTTATAATAAATCTGGTATTTTCAACAACTTTGTCATTCAACCAGGTTTCACCATGGACATCAATATTACTACACTAGTGATCAATATTCAGAAGAGTCTTTGACGGTTTTCTCAAAAGACTACGATAAACAACCAAACAGAAAAGTCCCTGATCCAATCACAATGTTGTAAGTATGCCTGCAACAGGAAGCCCAGACTAATTGTTGTACTGTTTTACAACAGGAAGCCCAGTCTGGACTAACTAGTAGCTGTTACACCTCAGGCAGCCCAGATATTCGAAAATCTTTCCCCCAAATCTTTGTGATCGTATCCATGAAAATGGACACAGCTAGTATCAATCATGGCAAATCTACAGGCAGCCAAAAATAAGTTAGAAACATAAATTCTCTTCTCGTTAACTGTTTCTATATAACTTAGTTCTTGAAATTGTTTTGAAATTTGAATTAGTTTAATGTGAGGAAATGAAGCTAAAACAGCCATCATTTTTTTCCCTTTTCTCTTTGTTGTTGTTGGTTGTTACATTTTAGGCTTAATTTCAAATGATATTTGCTTTGATTCTTTTCTTCTAGTGATGTTATTGTTGAAGACATAATGGATGATGTTAAGGTTAGTTAGTTAGTTATTAACCATCACGTGAGTGGGAAGAAGATTGATGACCATGGTAGTAATCATGTTGATGATTATAATGGTGATGATGGTGGTGGTGATGATGATGGTAGTGATGGTGATGGAGTTGCTGTTGGTGGTGATGATGATGATGGTGATGGTGATGAGATGATGATGAAGAACATGGTGATGGTGATGATGATGGTAGTGATGGTGATGGAGTTGCTGTTGGTGGTGATGATGATGATGGTGATGGTGATGAGATGATGATGAAGATCATGGTGATGGTGATGGCGATGGTGATGCATGTTAAAGATGATGAGGCATTGTCGTAATGGTAATCATGATGATGATGGTGACAAAAATAGAGATGATGATATCTAAAATCATAGCTAACCATCTGGGTCACGTAATAATGGAAATGGACAACTGAATAAACTATTATTAATACTTTTCCCAGCACGTCATCCATGTGCGGAAGAATGCCGCCTTAATAATATTCTTTTCTGGTATTCTATTTGGTTTGATGTTGATGCCCATCTTGAAATGCGTCGCTGACTTTCTCATCTCGACGTTCAGTCACGATGAAGAAGATGATGAGGATGAAAAAGAAGATGAAGACAATGAAGTAGAAGAAAAGGAAGAAGAGAAAAGCAAAGAACAAAAGAAAGATGATTAAAATCTTCGTTGTTGTGTGATCTGTGTTGTATGTCGCATATTTCTAGTGTTATCATCGTTTGTCAATTAAAAAAAAAAATCATTTTCTATTTCTTCTTGCATTTCCCATTTCTTTTTTTTATTTCTTTTTTTCCCATTTTCCATTTCCTTTAATCCAAAACTCCCATTGCAAATATCAGAGTTACATTCTATTGGCATTGTTTCAAGTCAAGTCATTTGAGCCAGTACAATAAAAAAAGAAACTGACCTGTAATTTATGACGTCAGAATATAACGTCATAGGTTACATGATATCCACGGCATGCCCAAACAATAGCAATTTCACTTTTGGTAGCACAGTTTTCCATCGATTGTGCAATGTTTTCCCATTTTAGACCATTTGTCATTCCCTTGAGTAATATTTCTTTCCTCACTAGGAATGCTTTTCAGCTATGGTGCAATGTTTTCCCATTTCAGACCATGTGTCATTCCCTTGAGTAGTATTTTTTTACTAGGAATGCTTTTCAGTTATGGTGCAATGTTTCCCTATTTCAGATCATGTGTCATTCCCTTGAGTATTATTTCTTTCCTCACTAGGCATGCTTTTGTTGCTATGGTGCAATGTTTTCCCATTTTAGACCATGTGTTATTCCCTTGATTATTATCTCTTTCCTCACTAGCGATGCTTTTCCGCTATGGTGCAATGTTTTGTCATGAGCTATTTCAGTTTTGTAATTCCTTTGAGTATCATTTCTTTCTTTTAAATAGGAATGCTTTTCAGCTATGGTGCAATTTTTACTCAAAACAAGCCATGTGCCATTCCCTTGAGTATTATTTCTTTCTTTACTACAAATAATTTCGTAAGTAGAAATTTTGCTAGTTGGGCATCCTGTGTTCCTATCACGTGACATCAGATGTTAGTGCCTTGCGGCCTCATCCTTCCCGACCACTCCCTCCCTGGTGGACTGAGTAATAATCGTCTTCAACATTTTCACAGAAAACCTGACTTTACAATGATTTTACGGCCGGTTTAGAGCTCCGATCGACTAAATACCTACCCACAGCCGTTCTACACGGCTCGTACAACGCCATGAGTGAATTATTAGTGTGTTTTCCTTGCTGTTTGACGGAACAACCGAGGTCACAAAGAGTAAGTCTGAACCGATAAACATAAAAAACTCGTTAGAGGAAGCCATGTTTTCCATTACAAATCCTTTAAATTCAACCCTTAGTTTTTTTTATTTTAATGAAATCTTGATTTTTAATGTCATTTTGGATCCTTAGAGACCTCAAAGACCAAGAATTGATAGAAGTATGATAGGGCAACCGACAGATTTTAGGGTAAGATGAATAAWACCTTCAAAAACAGGTCTTGAAAGACACTCGAAAAACCGAATTTTTGAGCTCAAATATTTCTTTTTCTCCACAGCACACAGGTCATATAGGATCTGGAGATATGGCTTCTGGACAAGATGTAAGAATAATTTCAAAATTCGTGTTAGAAATACCTCTGAATTTGCAAAAAACATTTGGAAAATGCAAATCAAATGTTTAGCACACTCAAAACACGTGATAGTTCTTACTTAAGTTAGTTATTGAACACAATATTTGGTCGTTTTATATCTTAATTATACCAAAAAATACCGTCTTATATATTAGAATACCATCACAGACTCCCAAACAATGAATATACTTTATTATTACTCCATTTTCATGTGGCGATCGTTTGTTTTTTAAGTTAAAAATGAGGTTGGAATTTGAAATTTGTAGTGCTGAAGCACGAGTTTTTATAGTCGTTTCAAAATCAGAAGTGAACATTTTATCTTATTATTCCTCGTTTTATTTTTCCAGCTTGGATTTGTCCAAAATCAAATGCAATCAAAAGGAGGTTATTCTAATGCGCAAAAAAACGTAAACTCAACACCAGACGGAATTTTAGTTGGTGGAAAATAACTAAATAGGTAAGAAATAAAAAATATATATTTATACAGTCAACATAATCTGATTTAGATATTGCGTGCCTTTCTTATGTATATATAACACCCAAAAGTAGTGTTTTTATGGAATTTGTGACTGTGTTTTGACTTTGTTACGATTCCTGCCATCATCTTGAAAATTTTAGCCAAGTAAGTCAATTATCAAATTCATTTTGAAATCGTCATTAATTAATGAGTTTAAAATGGGTAGTTAAATTTCATCTATTTTATCGTGTAGAAAATTTGTTCAGTAGAGAAAGTATATGTTGAATTTATTAAGCACTTCTTAAGGTTTTATGCATTTTTCTCTTGGAAGTGTTTCATGAGGTTGTGTCATAACCTCTTCAAATATACTTACATAAGTGCGCTTAAGTGACGAGTGATTTAGTTCTCCTGCACTCAACAGAAAGAATTATCGATCAATTTGAATTCTTTCTAGTGATTATCTTTAAACTATCRTCATCAATCACTCTCATTATCCAATGAAATTCGATTTTTAAACGAGTTTTTAAAACAACAAATCACATTCATTTGCTTCTAATGTAATTCAAGAAAAATTTAAACATGGTTTTTGATTCCAAATAATATATATATATACTACTTCAGGATTATATTACTTAGTTTGAATATTTCAAATATTTGAAGTTTGAAGCATATTCCATCGAGGAATATTCCGTATTTTAAGAGCTGTGAATTTTTTATTCCATATTCAACTATAGCTTAGATAAACCAAATATCTGTAACGGTTCTTCAAACTCTAGGCTCTCACAGCTACGTACGTCATGCCATTGAACAGTGCCAATATTGTCTGTTAACACATTAAAACTTTGTCTTTGGATAAATAAATCTTTTTGCCTGTATAGTACAGTGATAATGTTTGATCTTTAATGCATTTTGTTTCAAGTAGCATGAAATATAATATAATATTTTCTTGGTGTGATAAATACCTGTTTTTGTTTCAATTTTTTTTTCAGAGAAAAAGGTTGTCAAGATACTGTACAAATTGGTTACATTGTGCATATAATAATGAAAAAGGACATTTGTTGCCTAAACACTAGTGTACATGAAAAACAATGAACAATATTCAGTACAATACAAACGTAAAAGAATTAATTACTCAAGCCCGCGTTACATGGATGCAAAATATTCCTCCGAGAAGATGTGGTATGCATAATTGATCAATTACAGGATCATTGTCGGCGATCACATTAATTGATGCTCCAAAGTTTTTAAATTGTGTTAAGAACTTTGGATTTTATTTTGTTTATTTCTTGGTTATCATGACAATAAGAATTATGGAAGCTTAGTCTTTAATTTTATTATGAAATATTAGTCTTGTGCAATCATGGAATTTTCTTAGGGACATGAAAATGAGGCTTTGAGGGTTTGTGCGATACCAAGTCATTTGATTCTCTGTTCTCCCTACCACTAATTACCAGTATTCTCTTCAAACTCTATTTTTTCTTCAATTTTTGAACTCCCTTGGGAACCGTGAGATAATGGTGTTGATTAGGCCAAGACAAGGAACGATGCACAAATTTTTGGTAGTAGTAGTATTGTGATGTAATAAGAGAATGAAGCATAAAATTTTGTACTCAGATCGCTTTTCAAGTAATAGAGGTTTTGCACCACCATGTGACGGCAGCCATGTTAGATGGCAGGAMCAATACAATCGTTTTACATGAGAAAGAATTCAATTTCCAAGAGCAAAGGAATTTTATTGTTCAGCCATCTAACCACAGGCAACTCAAGCTGTATTATGGTGTGGGCATGTGATGGTGCAAAGCCTCTATTGGATATCAAGATATAGTAATAAAGTGCCGTACCGGTCTCACTTTCATGTGAATGAAAGCCCTTTTAATGGATTATGGCCTAGCTGTTTGTAATTCATTAAGAGCTAATCTAATTTAAATTGAAGGCTGCGTGAAAGTGTTTAACTATTGTGTAGGGATTGATCAAGAATTGGCAGAGGGAGGCCTGGTGCGATCAAAAGCAATCACCATGTAGGCATGAAAATATTCAAACCATTAGCAGGGCTTAAAATAATGGTCAACCAGTCGCTTTTCATAAACACAGGCCAAATTAGTTTTAGCTTAGTCGTACCTCATTTCTGGCTAAGCATTATTGGGCAAAATGACCAGCAAAGCAAATATTATTATGTATAGAGTATTACATTTACAGGGCTTATAATAACAGCCGATCAGTTTAATGCYGGTCATTATCACAAGTCAAATTAGTTTTAAGTTAGTCATACTTCATTTCTGGCTAACATTACTGGTCACCATGACCGGCAGGGTAAAGATTTGTCTGGACAAGACTCAGTTCTGGCTGGAAATTGTCCAATGACCAGCCTTTATTTTAAGCCCTGATTAGTTCACTTTTTTAACCTTCCCCTCCCCTCTAATTTTTTATGACCTGTCCCTCTCCCCTTCAGCTTTTTTTTGGCCAAGTCCCTATTTGCTTATGATTACTATAGGCCAAACAAGTACTAATAATTTGTAGATGACAATTTCATCTGAACAAGAAATCCATTTAAAAACATACTTTGGACTTGATGGAATGGTTTTCATATGAGTAAGAAACGACTGGTACTGTCTTACAGCATTTACAATGCACAACATGCAATGACATTGAATTGGCTTTCATAAGAATGCTTATTGTATGAGTCGGAATTTACAGTACTGACTTTTGGCACATACATGGTATTCATTGTGCATGTGTGCGTATGATTGGGCCAATCAAAACATTAATTGTACTATACTTCAATTATACAGTGTAATACTAACACGACAGTATGCATTTTTCTCACTCATAAGTTACCCATCCTACAGGGGCGGATCCAGGGGAGGGGTGCTCACACCTCCCTAGTACGACTTTGTGCCCCTACTTCGAAGATAACCAATACTGATTTTTCCTTTTGATCCTAAGGGGTGAACCCCTCCCTGGGTTAACTTTGTGTGCAGCACCCCTCCCTGAACAAAATCCTGGATCCGCCCTTGTCCTACCAAAACCATCAAGATTCAACACCAATGATGATCAACTTATAGTTTTCATTTCTCATTATCAAAGATGTAACTATCTATACATTCCCAAGTATGGGCTCTCTTTTCTCGGATAACAATGATTACGAAAGCAATGTTTGACTGAAAGCTGGAAGCATTTGATAAGATATGATATAAACTTGAAGGAGTTCTAGCACACCAGAGTCGGATTCAGGGAAATTTCATGAGAAGGAAATTCCTTAACTTAAGAGGACAAAGCTTGTACTGTACCTCCAAACAGCCAGGAATAGTTTTGTTAGATATATATATAATTTCTGATGAAACACTTAATTTTTTTAATTATTTAGAATAGGATGTTTGCATGATGGTGTCATTTGACTCGTGCTGTCATGGTAGGGAGAGTCAAGTGATGCCACCATGCAAAGGCCCTGTTAAAGAATGATTTGAAGCAACTTCCATTCACCCTGTAGACACTCATTTCTATTTTTGACTTTGTATATTTTGATTTTTTGGGGTTAATATAAGGCAATGCGAAGTAATGTTTCTCAATCTGCACTTCAGTGGAATAGAGTATTTTTACTTTACCCATGAAGCACTGTCATATTATAGTCTAACAGTGAAAAAAAAAGAGAAAGCAATGAAATTGGTGTCTATGCTTACACAGGCAGAGTAACATCACTCTAACGTTATTCAAAGAAGTGTGAGGAGCTTGCTTTAAAGTATACAGGATTATCAGTGTTTCATCAGTAATCTTATTTTGAACTATAATTTAGCTTTAGTGAAATCCATAAATACTTCATATCATTTTTTTTCTTGTTTACCCTACTCTTGAGAATAGCAAGGCTAGATTCTCTTAGCTTGGAATTTATGATCTCTTCACTTCATTTGAGGTTTTGCTTTTGTACAAAAATGAATGCTTCCAGGAAATTTGTGAAGAAATTTTGAGCTTGCAAGACTCAAAAACTGTTTGTGTATCTTTGAAAGAAAAGGTTTTGATGAACGAAAAAGTAATTGTTATTGTGGAATGTTTGTTGTTTTTCAATGGTTGTATAAAGGGATCTCTTAACACCTTGTTTGTGAACAGAACAGAGAGAGACAGGGACCCCTTTTGCTATATATTCTAGAGCTAGACCTGGGGTTGAGAATGAGGTGCATTGTGGTCTAGCTTGGGTACAATTATCTTTCATATTCCTTGTGATATTGTGGTCTAGCTTGGGTAAAATTTGGGGGGGGAGGGAGGATATTCGCTATACGGGTAAGTGCCGCCAAACACGCTATTCTACTTTGGAGCAGGGTATATAAAATCGCACTCGCTCTGGGGCAGGGTATATGAAATCACGCTCTCTCCTCTCTTGAATAGGGTATCCATTTTAGCGAAACCGGAACAGAGTATGATTTTCAACGATTTTGCTCTGGAACAGGGTATGAAACCAATTTTGTGAGTTTCCTGAAGGAAGGAATCATGTAATATAGTAATTCAGTGTTTGACTTCATGACGCATAGTGATATAGATAGTGCAAACAAGAGCAAGCGATATAGGGGTGAGGAAGCTGACAAGCATTCCTAGTAAAAAAAATGAAATTACATAATACTTAAGGGAATGACACATAGCCTGAGATGGGAAAACATTGCACCATAGCTGAAAAGCATTCCTAGTAAAGAAAGAAATAATACTCAAGGGAATGACATGTTCTGAAATGGAAAAACCATGCACTATAGCTGAAAAGCATTACTAGTAAAGAAAGAAATAATACTCAAGGGAATGACGTTCTGAAATGGAAAAANAAAGCATTACTAGTAAAGAAAGAAATAATACTCAAGGGAATGACGTTCTGAAATGGAAAAACCATGCACTATAGCTGAAAAGCATTACTAGTAAACAAAGAAATAATACTCAAGGGAATGACCATGAATGACCGCGCCCATGTAATATCCTCTATATACTCAAGGGAATGACACAGTCTGAGATGGGAAAACATTGTACCATAGCTGAAAAGCATTCCTAGTAAAGAAAGAAATAATACTCAAGGGAATAACACATGTTCTGAAATGAGAAAATATTGTACCATAGCTTAAAAGCATTCCTAGTAAAGAAAGAAATAATACTCCAGGAAATGACACATGGTCTGAAATGGGAAAACATTGCACCATAGAAAAAAACATTCATAATACTTTTAAGTATTAAAAGGGAACGACTCGTGATCATAATAGAAAAAGCCATCGAATAATTAATCCCAAGAACCAACAGCAGCTCTATGTACGTATTTGTCATACGCATGTCACGAGTAAAGTTAGGACTCGATCTTGAATCAGGTAGCATTTTATTTAGTATTTTCTTGAGTGCACATTATGCATTTTTTTTCAACGCCTGCTTCATCGATATATAAACGATTTTTCCACGGGAACACAGGCGTTGAGTCTCTGCGCAATGAAATAAAAAACGTGCGTCGCTAGTGAAAACAAAGCCGCGTTATTCGATCCATAGCTGTACTGCTATTTCGTTTCTTTTCTGTGCGATATTCTGACGTAGGAAGGAATGTTCTAGTCGTCCTGTTGTCTAGGTAGAGGAACCCTGGAACGAAGAAACGTGGGATAAAATGAATAAAAAAAAAGAAAATAAACTAACAAAGAGAAAGAAAGAGAAGGGAAAAAAAGGAAGGAAGAAAGAAAGGAAGGAAGGAAAAAAGTAAGAGAAACAGAGAAAGAGTGAACGAATGAACGAACGAACGAAAGAAGGAAAGACAAATAAAGCGATAGGAGTGAAGGAAGGGCAGAAAAGTAAGAAGGAAGAGGGAAATGAGTGAAAATACTGTAATTATAATCACTTCGGGACTTACTTCATCAATAATTAAAGAATTAAGGTCGTTTGCATTTGAATGACTTTTGAAACCTATTTTCTTTTCGATTGGCGTCGGCTATCAAGATTACGCTTGACAAGCTTTAATATTTTCGTTCAAAAACAAGCTTAAGTTACAAAAATGATTTGAAGAGGCTCAAGAAACAGGTTTGACTGATATGTTGCAATTTTAAATCTGCTTACAATGGTCAATACGCGATCGGATTTGTCGAATTATTTCCCCTCGACTCTGAAAAATCTAAGAAGTAAACTTGTTACAACCAGCTGGCGACTAAAAAGACTTTTTTCAAAAAAAAAAAAAAAAAAAAAAAAAAAAAAA